ATATGATTGAAAACCTAATAATATAACTGTAAGGTGTTGACTGATGTATGCACTATAGCATCTGACTCTTAGCACTGGCCTCGATTACACAGGAGATGGAGCAGCCATTACAATTCAGAAAAAAAACAATTAATGAATCATTGTCAAATTTTGTAACAATTTGTTTCAAGCCCGTATTTTAGTCGATAGCCTCCACATTTGTATGGTTAAGTCATTGTTGCTGTGTTTCCTTTCTGTGACCCCAATAATTTTTCTCCCTTCATTTGCGGGTCTTTAGGGTGTTGTGAAGGTTCACTCCTGTACCCCTATACAGAATCACTCCCTCTAGCTGCCTTTTCTAGCACCATTACACTTAAAAAAATAAAATGCACAAACAACAAGCAGTGACAGCGGCGACTCTTCAATTGTCCAGGATGAATTTCGGTAGCATGCTAAAGAAAGGTGCGTGGAAGTAGCCGGATATGGTACACAGGCCAAGCTCCAGCGGACTCTATTCCTTTCTGAGCATTACTTCCCATCCCCCATCCAAAATACATGCATTAGAATGTAGTAAAACCTTCTAGAAACATCTCTTAGCCAACTGCAGACTTTTCTGTTGCCACACAAGTGCAAAAAAAGGGGCAGGATGTGAACCTGTATATTTTCAAAACTTCGTTTGGTGACAGAACACAAAAGGAAAAATTCCTACGTATACACATTAGGTCTGTCTCCACTTTTATAAAACTGGAATAAAATGGGAAAGTGCCATGTTTATAGTTCCTAATTGAAGTTTTAATGTCCTTTTGACACAAAAAGGTATATACATATCAGAGCTACGTAACTTTTTTTTTTTCTCCAACGGGACATGTGTCAAACCCTGTAGATTTATAGGGCAAAACAAGATTGGTCAGGAAAGAATTGTTCCTATCATTGGTAATCTGACACTATGTCCTTTGCCATTTAAAAAGGTCCTTTCTTCAGTTTATTCAAGTTTATCACTCTTCATGGTTGGCTTTTTTTTGTGTGTTTTTTTTTATCTCCGATAAAAAAAATATTCAGACTTTTGTAATCTGCGTATGCTGATCTTCATCAAAAGGTTCATTCTCTGGATCAGAGTCAGTGGTGTCCGAGTATCTATAATGATCAGGTTCATTGTCACTAACGTCTGGCGTTACAGAAGTTGAACTGCTAGCCTCTGGATTTGATGGCTCTTCTACCGTTTTTGTGAAAAATAGCTTCACCTGGGAAAGGAAAAAAACAGCATTTAAAAAGGGAACCCAGACTTCAACCAAGCACAGGCAACAACACAATTTTTAGCGTCCCGGCTCCTTTCGCTACGCTGGATCGCAGGAGTGCTCCTCTCTGCTCTGGAAAGGAGGAAACGAAGAGCGAGCCCTTCCCAGGTCAGCCAGCCTCTCACCGCCACCCCGGACAGCAGCGGTTCCTCGAGCCCAGCTGGGGGGGTCTGCAGACCATGCCACACCGGGCTTTTCTACTGCCCTACCTTCTCGAGCTCTGCGAGCACAGGAAGGGGCTGCAGGAGAGTGCACAGGAATGAACAAACCGCTCTGCAACTGGGGGCATGAGCCGTTTAAACGTCTGATCCAAGCCCATTCCAACAAGCAGCTACGACCATTGCCTTCGGGTGAGCACTGCTGGGGTCGAACATTTTATCAGCGAGTTAGAAAATGCCAAAATTCTTAAACATGCCGCCTTCATTTTTAAAAACAGTGCTGGCAATGGCTGATATTCCTCAAAGCTGCACTCCCAGGTTAAGGTGTTCCCAGGAAGCAGGCACCTCTGCAAACCAGCTCGGGAACTACTGCGCACAGGCCAGAGCTCGCGGCAACGCAGCTGGCGCGGGAAAGATGCTACCTGGGTCTCTGGGTCTCCCACCACTCGCCTCCAATGGCTTTGATAAATTCCTGAAACACCCCAAAGCCTTTATTCCCAGTCTCTCCTCATCTATTGACCTCCCCAGAAGCAGACGAACTCACAAAGCCAGGAGCTTTGCTAGGGGTGGCAATGCCAATACATGAACTCGATCTCTACATGGACAGGAGTTTCAAATGGTTGCTCCGCAAGGCAAGACAGACAAATCAGAGAACGGCATGCAGCTCTTCGGCTCTGTTGACACATAATATATACTGACCTTGAAGTTTGGAGAGAAATATCTGTTGGCTTTGTCTTTATTTGCTTTGTCTAGATCGTTTTTTGTTAATGTAAGGATTAAATATTCCTTATCATTATCCGAGCGCTCTGTACTGAAAATACCATCAAGTTCCTGATCTGCAACTAGACTTCCATTTTCTACTTTGTCTGAATTTTCATCCAGTCCTATGAAGAATGTATTTACCCAAAAGTGAAACATTTTGTCCTGGGGGAGGAAGAACACAAAGAACAAGCTTGCTTTAGTATTCACTAGTGGCACATTAATTAGACTAATATCATCAGCTGGTCAAAAAAAAAAATCAGTAATATCAGACAAAACTTGTTTGGACAACATCATTGGTTACATTGCACGCAAAAACATTTTCACCAATTCTCCTCGACAATATGCAAAACTCTGCATTAATCAAACTCAATTTTAACCAATTAAGCTTTCAGAAGTCACCCCTTATTGAAAGCTGGTTTAAAACCAATCATACCTACAAGCAAAGCAGATGACAATAAATTGAACAAGTGTTAAACTTGTCATCGCAAGGCATAGAGATTTTTTTTTTTTCTGCTCGTACCTTGCCAAGCAGTAGCCAAACCCAACAGACAACCTGTGCAAGCCAGCCTAGGTGAGTAGTGTTTACCAACAGAGGGCATCTTCCCCCGCAGCCTCCACACAAAGGAACACTTCATTTTTACACAGAAATAGCAGTAATTGAGCAAAGCCACCCTACAAATGCAGGGACTCCTAGTGGATTCGTTACTGCTTTACGGAGATGGTTTCTACCAGTCAGATGATTGCTGGCCAGCACCCAGAGACAGCCTGACTCTGAGGGTGCCTGCTGTCTTTCTGCTCAACGGGAAGATTTTAATGAGGAGATGAGGCATTGACAGTTTAAGTATATTCAACTCAAGCAGAACTGGGCAGATGTTTCCATCAACAGCTGGAAAGGTACGAGTTAGACTACCACAACGACACTGCAACAGGTACACCTGTACAGAGGCAAAATGCAAACGCATCAGCGATTTTAAGAAGTCACTGGAGAAGCCAGGGTATCACATGCTGATCACGACTAGCGGGGTCCTTGTGGGTGTCTGTCTCCGTCCGTCCTACTGAACAAGCAGCAACGTTCTGCTCTTGGCTAGACAGTCTCTGAAGATGATAAGCCCAGGAAATTCACCTTTAAGCTCTCAGCTAAACAGCTCTGCAGGATGCTCTGAATGCTCTTGGTTCAGTTCTCCATCACCTGCCCTGCTTTTGCCAGTCCTGAGGTGACGTTTCCAAGATCAACTACCTTAGCAGGTTGGTCCCAACTAACACATTAAGCACTTCTCCCTCTGCAGCTGACCCACATTTACTTCCTCTTTACAAATGAAACCTTGTATTTTACTCTGATTTGAGTTTTCAGGCAAAAGATCCAAAATGCAAATGGCAAGTCTTCCCACAACAGCCAGTACTTCTGCATTTCTGTTAAAGCTGCAGGGGTGACAAAGCTAGCACATGCCAGAACCTAACATTCCTTGGTATCATGCAGGACCAGAGCACAAAGCAATTCCTAAGCTAATTCACACATTTTGGTTAACTAGAGAGATCTAATTCCAAGTTTTTATGGAAAAATCCAGGTCCTGCCCCATCTTCTGAGCTATTCACCTCTGCTGGTGAGTGAGTGTGTGCGTGCGGGGGGGAAATCAGAGGTGGAACAGAAGTGGTTCTGGTGTGTATCACCTTGAGCATGCCTCCCTGCTGAAGGCAATCTGGCACCAGCAAAACACCACATTTTCCTGGGCCAATGACAAGGGGCAGGGAAGAGCTGGACTACTGCTTAACTTGTATTCTTCGTCCTCACAAACTAATACAAGCATGTAAGCACACAAATACTGGGAATTCAGAAGGGTTTGAGGAAACAACATCTACCTGCCTTCTCCACCAAAGGTCAATAGACCCACTTCCAGTATTTTAGGTAAAGCCCACAAAAACACTTCCAGCTTGTTTGCATCTCTGTAAGTGCCTGAGAGACCCCCAACCTGTACGGGAGTGCAACGGCAAAGACAAAAGTTAAATAACTCAGTCAGAAACACTTCTGGTAGTTAAGAAGTTGCCCACTCCAACGCATGCCTCTCCAGCACCTTTGGGAATCAAGTTAATCTTCCAAATCAACATGCTGTAATTACAGCTGTCTTGAGGGACTAACACCTGTTTGCCACTGCCACTAGAGTCCCTCCAAGCCTTGTCAGAGCCGATCCATGCAAGGCAGCAGTCAGTAGGTTCTTGCCAGGCCCAAACTGCTCATACACTTCGCACCCTCCTCTTCTTCACTAACACTACTTCAGAAACAGTCTTAAAAATGCCCACCCCGGGATCTGGAAGTAGAGGATGAACATCCTGGGCAAGAGGGTTTATTCTGTAATGCTCCGAGTCACCAGCCTGCCTGCTGATGTCTCACGAACAAATCCCCATGAAGTTGTCTTCAGGGTAACCTGGTCCAGGCTCCTCCTATGCCCAGGTGATGAGTCCCTCAAAAGACACGTAGTCCTCCAAGGAGATGAGGCGGCTACTGCTGCTCAAACCAAAAGACCAGTTCAGGGCAAAATGGAACTACCAAAAGCGTCAGCTTTCCAGCTACAGAACAGGAGGGATTTGGAGTCCAGGTGTCGTCTGCAATAAACAGCAGGAAGAGGCAAGCCTGAGCCAATGTTCGCAGCACCCAAGGGCTCTATAAGCAGGTGGGTATATCACCTGCAGTCTCACCACAGGTGGAGAGGCCATCCTTCCCGTGAGGATGTAGAGAAGAAAGTGCATTTCCACACCATGATGACAGTTAAGGGAGATTCCACCTCTTGCAGCTGGGGTGATGGTACTACCATGTTTCATCCTTCTTCAGGACCACAATGCAGAAGCAGCAATGTACTTTGGTACCGGTCCTCAGTGCCACCCATGACACCTCCAGTGAGGTCAGCAGAGGAGGGGACAGAGCTGATGAACACACTGCCGCAGATGGATGGAAAATGGCTCATACCAATAGTGCTGAAGCGGGTCTGGAGGAAAGCAGTGCCAAAGCAAACAGGGCCACTGGATGTGAACTGATGCCAGCAGAAGCAGAAGGCACAGTCCTGTCATGCCTCACCTCAGACTCCATCAGGTGGAGCAGAACCGGGAAGGATTTACTTGGCACTTAAGGGCCTGCCTGAACAAGCAACTGCAGGGGCTCTGCTTTACTGATAGAGTCTGGAGAGGACAAGACAACAAGCTTCTCACTAGGCATCTTTTAATCTGTTTTCCTTGGGAGGTATTTGCAGAGGTCTTCAGGGACTCAAACTAAACAATACTGCTTGGCCGAGCTGCCCATTTATCCTTTTATCTCCCTCCAGCTTTTTAGAGCATCAAGTTATTTTTTTCCTTTCCCACTACACTAACTTAATTAGCTTAATAAACTAAGTTCATGGGTACTGGAGCAAGGCACGGCCACTGAAATTGAGGGAAGACTTGGCCATGTATTTTGGAATTAGATCTTAAGGCCGATAGTGGTGTCACTACTTTCACTGAAAAATGAAACTCGCTATTTCAAGTGGCGATTCAGCCAGCTTCAGCTTAAGCATCAGGCTCTGAGACATCTCACGGGAGAAAACGAGGAAAGTTGATGTAATATAGGCCAAAGATAGGAATTTTAAAAATCAAGGCATGAACTGGACTTGGGCTTTATACAGTGAGTCAGAATACCCGATGAAGAGCTCACAGGACCACAGTTTAATGAACAGGCTTCTGAAACCGAGCAGGAGCCAGTAGCTTCTCTTGAGTGTGTTTCGCTTCACTTCCAGGTACATCACAGGCAACTGCCTTAAAAAAAAAAGTCACAGATGTACTTCTTCCCATAACCAAATCTGTATCATAAGATCTATAGTGCAGTATCAGACACTTGAGAGAGAAGCTGATTTAATCGTGCTATTTTTACCTACAATACTTATCCCTACCTTGTGTGGTTTTTCAGTTCTCAGACTGACGGAAAAATACATCTCACTCTAGAGCCAGTACCTGCCTCTGACTGCAGACTGAGATCCAAATCCAAGATCATCTAAATCATCAGCTAGGAGCTCCCGTATCCCCCAGAGTTTCATTTTGCAGAGATCTACAGGCACTTATGATCACATTGCAGCACCAGCTGAGGGTTCTGGAGATGCTATCCAGCAATTGGGAGACGGAGGTCGTGTTTCAGCCTGCTCTTTGCTGGCCTCACAGCCTTCCCGTAGTCACGCTTGATGGAACTTCTTGTACCATTTTCAGATCAACAGTCGAAGTCTTCTGACACCTTCAGAGCTGATTCCTCAGCGTTTGCTGAATAGCAGTCACTCCAAGTCCTCCTGAACAGTGTAGCGGATCTTCTCATCTATGCAGTCTCAAGAGATGACACAGCATACCCAACCGCTCCAGCAATGCTGTCAGCCCTGCCTACGCGGGAGTCTGGGTATAAACCAGCAGTGACTCTTACAAAAAACCCACACCACCGTTTCCCTCTCATCTATACTGGGAGGACTCCTGGAAAAGGTCTCCTCTAGCCCCAGGCTCTGCAGGCAGGAAGATTAAGAGATCTTCTGTACTACTTTAAAACAGGCTCTCACTGAACCAAGCGATGTAAGGATACTCTGAAATACTTCATCATGTCAACATCAATAGCTGGAAGAAAAAGGCTTCGCACAGATACATGGAAGCAAACCTAGAGAGACTACAGCAGCAGACTGAGATGGAGGAACAGCCAAGCTACAAATGAGAGAAACAAAAAAACATGCTCAAAAAGAACCCCAAATTACTATCTTCTATCCCTCAGAAAGTCACACATGACAGCTGACCTGCCTCAAGCCATTTTGTTCTCATATGAGCACGCTTTTCATTCTTGAAAAGAAGTAGCTACACAACACTGAAGAAATGGTCCAAGAATAAAGTAAACAACTTTATTAGACAAGAAAAGACCAAAAGCTGTGGACTTCCTAACTGATGCCAGGCAGCACGGGTTATGGAAGAGCTGAAACAGGGTAACTTTTTCAAAGCAGTCACCATCTTACCAACATCTTCTCAGCAGCACTAATAAAACTTTGGCTGAGGTCTTGCTAGCCACTGCATTTGCTTAAAATAAGTTTTGCCATTAAAAAACAGGTCACTTCACTGCTTTAGATTTCACATTGACACTGCAATGCTACGTGCTTCAAGTCACTTGGTCATTAAAGTTTGTTTTGTTTTATGCACAGTAATTTTATCCAAGAGCAGCTTGATCAAAGCTGAGGAGGACCCTCCCTACCAGAGAGCTCTGCAGATAATGCTAGTGTTCCCCAGAGGGCTGAGAAATCTGAAAGCAAGTACAGGACACAGGAGTTTCCTTTATCTCCACAGCCATTCACAGAACCATAGAATCATTTGGTTGGAAAATACCTTTAAGGTCATCAAGTCCAACTGTACCTGTCCACCCCCAAACCCTGTCCCTAAGCACCTTGTCTGCCGGGCTGTTAAATCCCCCCAGGGATGGGGACTCAGTGCAGCCCCTTCCAGTGCCCGATCCAGGAGATTCTCCAGCCTGAGGCCCAGAATGGATTGAGAATTATATTTTCAATTAATGTTATTAGGTTTCTTATGAAAAGTTACAATGCAGACTGGTAGATATGTGACGCCTTTAAGTGTGTGCAAGAAAACTTGTTTAGCAGCTACCTACAAATCTGCTAACAGAATGCCTTGAAGAGCAAGGACCAGTGATGGACAACAGACCTGTAGGTCCAGCTTTCAAACACACGCGTGAATAAACCAGAATTTCTCAAAGATAAGATCCCATTACACCTAATTATGCTGTTCCTCATTAATTAGGTGATCACTGCATAGAGGTGATCTCCAAAATGCGACAGCCTCCACAGTGGAAGGCCCCCTCTTTTGGGGTTTTGAGTGAAAACTGTGTAGCGTCAGTTTATCTAGGAAGGGACCAGGCCCAGATGTGAAACACCTGTACTGAGAGACATGTTCAGCTTTGTGGCAGGGTAGGCTTTCTGCCACTAATACTCACATTTGCCCTGTTCCCATCTCAGCCACTTCACAGAACAAGCTGTCAAAAGGACCATGTGGAAGGACCTCCTCTAGAGCCAAAGCACGCATGGGAGATGGGATGTTTCACTAATTCTCAATATGGAGACCTCAGCAGTGGTTTCCTAAAACAGACTGACATGCTTATATCCAGGAGGATCCAGGGACCCAGCCCCAGGCGCCCTCAACTCGTGTCTGCATTTACAGTCGCGCTAGCAGAGGTGGCCTTAGCAGAAC